ACACAGCGCCCCCGGAGGTCAGTAGCTACCGACACAGCGCCCTCTGAGACGCGCTGCAAAGCTCCAAACTCCAAACAGCTGTTGAGGAGAAAAAACAACGTGAAGAGAAATCCAAGTCACTACTTGGGTTTCAGTTAACAACCAAAACAAAACCTTCTGGCTCAACTTCGAATCTCTTCACAGATGTTTGTTTTTGTTGGAAAATAGTCCAGAAAAATCAGAACCGAACTGTTGAGTCACGTGTCTGAGGACAGCAGCTGCAGCGCCGCCTGCAGGGCGACTCGAAGGTGGTTCAACCTGAAACTCATCCAAAGCCGCATATTTTGAGAAGATGTTTGTTGGTGGACTTCAACTGGTTCAGGACTCAGAAACCTCAACGTTCTGTCCAGATGAATCTCCAGCTGTGAAGGTTGAAAGCAGCATGTTGACGCTTGAATAAGAAACGGCTCTTTGGGCTGCTGTCGGTGGGAGTAAAAGGCCAGAGCAGGCGTTTAGCGCCACCTGCTGGTCACACGGACCTCCTTCTGTTCGATGATAGAGACGTCGTGTTTAGTTGTCGTACTTTATGAGCCGGAGACGGTTCCTCCGGAGTGAAGACACTTTTTACTTCCACTCCATAAAAACGCAGTAAAACCGTCACACGTGCAGTAAAACACGCATGTATGCTCAGGAACACATGTATGACCAAGCAGCTGTTCCTGCAGCTGAATCCCACAAACACCGACTCTGATGAGCCTAACAGCTGCAGAACCCGGCCCAGCAGAACCGGTTCCACCAGAGCGCAGCGTCACGTGCGGCTCGTCGGATCCGTCCACCAGCGCAGCACAAAGCAGCGGCTTGTCTCAACACATTCTGTTGTTGTTGGCCGCCGGCGCTGCTGAGCTCATCCTCTCCGACGGACCGCCAGCTCCGGAGGGTTCTGCTCTTACATAACGTCCTCAGAGCAGAACGCCGAGGTTACACGAGGAACCAGACAACAGAACCGAGCCCAGATCCCACACAGAACAACAGAAGTCTGTTTTCTGGTGGAACGTTCAGAGTTTCAGAAAATCACAAACTTGAGCTTTGAGCTGCTTCAGAGATTCACTTCTGAACATTCACAGCAACACGTCTGAAGCTGGACTCGTGCTCCTCCTGCTGATCCTCACTTCAGCGTCTGCTTCCTTCATCCAGCCTGTTCATGGACCTTCTTCATTCTTCTGGTAAAAACAGCATCAACTCATCTTCAGTCTTCTTCTGCTCTTTAATGTGTTTCTGCACTAAAACCAGCTGCAGTCGGTTCTGACACTTTTCTAAACTCTCCTTGTTTCACGCCTGCCTTGTTCTTCTGCTCATCACACTTTGATCTGCAGCGTGAACGTCTCATTGTCCACATCTGACCTGATGGTGTTCCTCTGACTTCCATCCTGCACTGCTGGACTCACAAGTTTACAAAAAGTCTCTCTGTGTCAACGTGACAACAGATTTCTACTGATGATGAGAGTTAATTAAACGTGACGGCGGTAAAGCAAACAGCCAAAGCTCCACAGAGATGGTTTAAAGACAACAAGGTGAAGTTCTGGAGGCCCAGTCAGAGTCCAGACCTCAGTCCAGCTGAGAATCAGAGTCTGGACTTAAGTTCTGTTCGTGATCCCTGTGGAACCCGACAGAGTCTGAACAGTTTCATCAGAATGAGGTGAAGCTGCAGCGTCCAGATGTTC